CCTTTGCCTTCATCCTGACTGGCAGGCCGCGGTACAGAAGGAACTTGACCAGCACCTCAAAGATACTGGCCGAGATCTTCCCACCATCGAGGATAAAAACAAGTTTGTTGACGTAACAATAATAATCCAATCTAAATATCCGATCTGGTAGTCGTTTATCGCATAATTGGGAGTACTATAGTTATATAAAGTTATATGGGAGTACCCCAGAGTGCAGGTCAATGTCTAAATGTGCTGAATTAAGAACGTTAAACAAAAATTGAATTTTATTTGCTCAAAAAAATGTTATAATGTATGTTAAGCGTCGTTTGATACTACATCATTATTATAATTTGTTGTTGTTAACTAAAATTTATAATACCTATGTTTGTACTAATGTCATTTCAAAATTTCAAATTCAGTTGTTGCGAAACCCTTCTTATACGTGATAATGAATGAAATTGCATTCGAAACGTCGTACAATTATAATAAAATGGAAACCTGATATTTGGAAACCTGATATTTGGATTTTCACTTCCTATCAAGAGCCTAAAACAATAAGAAAATTGTCAATAAGAAATACTCTCTGGTCTTCACTGAAACCTTCATTAAAGAACAGCTTCTGCCAAACTACCCAAATGTTAACTAAAATATGTACATTTATTATTATTTTGGTCACTGTCGTTATTACTATTATTGATAATTATTTTATTATTACTAATATTTTAGTATTATCATAATTATTATATTTATTATTATGAAAAATTACATGGTTATACCGAAATTTCGCAACCAACCTATTAATGTGGTTAACTAATAATCCTGACTGGCAGGCCTCGGTACAGAAGGAACTTGACCAGCACCTCAAAGATACTGGCCGAGATCTTCCCGCCATCGAGGATAAAAACAAGTTGGTTGACATAACAACAATAATCCAATATAAATATCCGATCTGGTAATCGTTTATCGCATAATTGGGAGTACTATAGTTATATAGCCACAAAGGTGCAGTTAAATGTCTAAATGTGCTAAATTAAGCACGTTAAACATAAATCGAATATTACTTACTCAGAAAAATGATGTAATGTTTGTTAAGCGTCGTTTAACATTATATTATTATTATTATTATCATTATTATTATAATTATTATTATTATTATTATTACCATTATTATTATCATCATTATTATTATATTATTATTAATATTATTATTAATAATATTTTTACTATTATTATAATCAATATTATTTCTATTATTATGAAAAATTATATGGTTCTTCCGAAACTTTTCAAACAACCTTTCAATGTGGTTAAGCAATTCTCAGAGTTTTATTGAGCCAGGCTTGTGAAGACATCGGCGTTCTTGACTGAAGTGATGCGGTTCCGCTGCACGGACCCACTCACCGTGCCTCACACGTGCACAAATGACACCATGTTGCAGGTAACTTATATGAACAGCTTATTTTACGACGTTGGAGAGTTGCTAAGTGTTCATTATTCTATTAATTTGTTAGTTATACATTAAAACTTATACACCTTATAAATTCCGACGGAGGTTTTCCTATATTTCTGTTGTTTTTAATACATTACTGGGGAATATTGCAGTAGCAAAAAGAGATTTATTAGCTTTATTTCATCCAGAAAAAAAAATTTGAAGACCAATAGAAAATTTGAATTGCAGAAAAACAGATAAAAGCTGAATTGAAATACATAAATTTGGAAATTGAAAATTTTTTTGAGCACATCGTAACATGCAGCGCTTTGCCGTTATACCATGATTTTTTAAACAATACAAACACCATTTTAAGCTTTAAAATTTGGATCGTTATCATTCACTCCTGAGAGGACTATGCACACGCAGGGTCACCGTATCCCGAAGAACGCGACGCTATGCGTCAACTTGCGCAGCATAATGATGGACGAGTCCTACTGGGGTGACCCCTTTGTTTTCAGACCTGACCGCTTCATTGCAGATGATGGAACTCTCAAGAAAGATGAACGTGTCATTATCTTTGGCAAAGGTGAGAAAAAATTCTTGGTTTGTTTAATTTATAGTCACCATTTTAGTTTAATGCTGAATAGATCAAGGTATGAAGATCAACTATAAAATAGTGCGGCTCTCTCATTTAATAAAAGAGAAAATATCATCAAGTTTTCAATTTCGAAGTGATACAGATCTGCTGACATGCATTTGAAGGACACTGTCCCACTATTAATAACTTGTAGGTGAGATTGAATATTAGAGTCCTTAAAATGACTGAATTAAATGAATTTTTATTCAGGGAAACGCGTCTGCGCTGGCGAAGCCTTGGGCCGGATGAGCACTTTCCTGCTTTTTGCGGGACTGACGGCACATTTGTCGTTCTTCTTGCCGCCGGGAGACCCTGTCCCAGACACTGAGGGCGTAACAGGCTTCACTCTCGGGCCTCCTCCCTTCAGGATTATTGCTAAACGGCGCAATCATTCAAGCCATTGCTAATAAAATTTCAATATTGCGTTATCATAACAGCACTTCGATAACCCAAACGGCTTGCCGGTGATACTTAGATTGAAAGATAATTTTTTTTTTCAAAAGCCATTCATTTCGTTATTATTCAATAGCAAATCCTATAACTCGATAGAATAGTAATTATTCGTTTATCTCATTCCACAAATGTTTATACGAGCCCAAATATGTTTAACAATTTTTGCATCAATGAATTTTTACTTCCTTTATGAATATAAGCAAAATGCTGAGACCAAGTGAAAATATTATTCTTCCAACCCAATTTAGACCAGCGTCTACCCGTTATCGACGCAGCGATGCTTCCCGATTAAGGACTATTGTACCCAAATTACTCTGAACAATAAACATTTTGNTGACATTCAAGAAAAATACTAGTGCGAGATATTAATTCGAGTCACTACAAATCCCAACACACAAACCTGTACAAACACGGCAACCTAGCCAAAAAAGCGCATGACCTAACAACTCTTATTATTCGTCGGCAATGTTCCAAGGAATAGCAAAAAATCCATTTTTTGGTCATTGTCTCAAGGAAGAAATTGTGATGCCCTTTTCATCGCTGCATTAAATAAGTTCTATATTCGTGATAACAAAATTCATTAGTATATTATTTATTATTTATTTTAATACAACATTAGCTTCATTTAAACCTAAAGAAATACTAACTTTAAAACATACAATTATCAAATGTTAATGTTTAAACTAGTGTTTCAGAAGAATATTCGTTAACTGACGAACGACAATATTATTTCTTATGGCAGATCTCTTTCATTCTAGAAAATTGAACAGTTTAATTCAATATCTGCTTCATCGATTTAAGTAATTATAGTGTCTTAATTTCTAAAAATGAACAAAAACTCAATCCTTTTTCCAATAATCTTTGCTGTCTCATTTGTAACATCTTTTACTACACCACACCGCGGTGGCAACATCCGAGATCTGTTTGTGTTCTGTTAGAGATAGTTCGTGTATACTAATGGAGCCAATATAGGGTGGCAACTTGTATATAGGCGAATATAAATGAACAGTGTCATAAAAAGTTTCTTGGAATTTATTTAAAACACGGTTTTCATATTAGTTCGCTCAATTTTAACATCAGCATGTTGAACATGTATTGTTGCTTTCGGAAAATTGTTAGTATACTGTACTATTCTACTTAATTTTATTCAATTTCATTTCGTTTTCATAGAAATATTAAAATTATATCAGAATAATTTCATACTGTGAGAAGCGGGAACAGTGAATGCGAACAACAGTACGAGCCATCATGGTAGTTGAAAGAACATTTTATCGCCGATTAGTATATTTGCAGAAAGGAGACGATATCATTGCAAATATCATGAGAAAGGATCGGTGGATGATAAGAAATTTCATTAATGAAGCATTCACTTTTAAAACCGGGTTCAAGATCATAGATAATTTTTTCCTCCAAACAGGGACGTGGAAAATACTTAGCTAATCTCTGAAAAATACTGCTGCAAACAAAAAGATATTGACTTTATTTCGGACAATTCTCGTTTGCAAAACAGTATAATGGTAATGAGTTAACGAACGAATGAATCATAACGATATTTATGATTTTGTGTGAGTATTTTTTACGTGCTCACCTGTAAATTTTCGGTTAATTTGAATAACTATTGCTCGGATGGAAGCTTTTCTTATGGTCCATCTGTAATGTTTTCTACGTTCAGACTATGGCTGGTGAAAGTAAACCATGAAAGTTAGGGTTAATTATTCCCTATAGTCTGCACCATATGAAAATTGATCATAGTGTGTCGCTATCTACCTAAATCCATAATCCATCCATTCTTCACAGAATCTCCCAAAGGCGATGAACGAAATTAGAAAATAAAAAAAAATAAGAAAAAATATTTAAAAAAACCACGTTTTTCTAGTTTTTACAAAACTAAAAATAATGAAATAAAACAAATAAAAAATTAAAAAAAAAAACACGTTTTCTTAACGGACAAAAAAGAAAAACATTTACTCTTACATTACATTTAAGTTATGTAAAATGTCATGTAATGTTATGTAAGAGTAAATGTTTTTCTTTTTTTGTCCATTAAGAAAACGTGTTTTTTTAACAGTTTTTTTATTCGTTTTATTTCATATTTTTAGTTTTGTAAAAACCAGAAAAACGTAGTTTTTGTAAATATTTTTTTATATTTATTTATTTTCTACTTTTCAGATTGCAATTTTAGCAATTGAAATCAATTTCCAGGGTCGGCAAGTGTGGATGTTCGAGGAAAAACTCAATTCCAAACCGTGAATTTTTTGTGTTTTTTATTTTCATTTTTTTAATTTTTTTTCAATTATTATTCCTGATGATCAAATCTTGAATTGTTAGGCAGCATAAGCATGCATGACAAATTTAAAGTTTCTTGGATGTTCAGAAGAGCTCTAAATTAAGGTTTGAATTTTTGATGACAGACGGACACGAAACGAAGTCAAGAAAAACGTGGTAAAAAACGTGGTAATAATAAGTCATAATAATAATAATAGTGTAGTTTGGCAGAAGCTGTTCTTTAATGCAGGTTTCGTTGAAGACCAGAGAGTATTTCTTATTGACAATTTTCTTATTATTTTTCTCGATTCGGCGAATTAGGCTCATTAATTATCATTTCTGATGATCAAATCTTGAATTGTTAGGCAGCATAAACATGCATGCCAAATTTCAACTTACTAGGATGTTTAGAAGTGCTCTAAATTAAGGTTTGAATTTTTGATGACAGACGGACACGAAACGAAGTCAAGAAAAACGTGGTAAAAAAACGTGGTAATAATAAGTCATAATAATAATAATGTGAATAAATGCATGTGCGAAAGGACCTGAATGCTCACAGTAGGTTGTTAACGAAAATTTTGTCAACGTAAACATTTTATCACTTTTTTGATTATACGAATCAACCTAAAGAACGTTCAAAGAATTGGGGAAGCAATCCGAAAAGCTACCAAATTTATAAATTTAAAACTATTTTACTACAGAATTTACCGGAGCAAAAATTTCTAAAAATGATCAATAAAATTCTCATGTTTGCTCTTGTACGAATATACAAGCAAACCAGAATAAGTTTTCATTATTATTTGGTTTGTTTTATTGCATTTAGGCTTTTATGTACCTACGGTATGACCACTCTCGTAAAAAAAAACAAGGCCAAATTGCATATTAATTGAAATTTGTCTGCTAAAATAATGCTTACACCTTTTGCATTGTCAACAATTCGTCGCGAAATGTAAATTAGAATGTGATATCAGTTAGCTTGTCTCCAATCGATTGCCAACTGATGTTCCAGCAAAATGAAACTCGGCACTCAAACTCTCCCAGAGTTGTTCTTTCACCCAATTTCATCTCGGAAATACATGGAATTGAGATTATTTTTCAATTTTATCCTCATCCCAAGATTTTCTTTATTTCTAATATACTTATTCGATTACGATTTTAAATGAGGGTCTACTGATATTGTTAATATGTTTTGTAATCCATTTATAGCTTAATAGTGACATTGAAGAATTAATCGTAAAATGTGGGTGGTTAGTATGCAAAATACCAGAGATCGGAAAAAAACAGAGATCGAAATTTTCTTTTTCCGAGACTTTCTGCGGCCTCACAATACACGCTTTTACGAAAAAAACTCGTAGCCAATAATTGCTCCGTGTATAAGCTTACTGGCTCATAAAACTGTTGGTGGCCAGTCGTGGACTTTATTCTGAACTCAATTATTTTAATTTTTGGGAGATTTCTGTGCTTTGCAGCTTGGTTTCTGCCTTTTGTGTTTTTATGATTAAATAAATAGCGTAATTGTATGCATCCCTGAAAACTATGTATTAAATATTAGTTCAAGCTTTAAATAATTTAAATTACTATCGTTAATAAATAATTTTTTTGAACATTTTTATCTATTACATATTACAAGATACTAAGAATTTTTGTCCCTTTTCAAGTCATGAGAAGCCTTCATGATCGCTGCCACCTTTATACTACGAAAAATCTAAGAAAAAATGTAAAAAGTTTTTTGAGAATAACTTATCATTATAGAATTCATGCGGGCGCTGCGTCGTTTATAAGCTCTAATTTTATTTTCGTTTCACTCTAAGCTATTGGTTTGAATTTTTTTTAAAGGCCTCCCACACTCACCATTCCAACACCAAACTCGCGTCCTCGGGCAAAGCAATACCTGCGTTCCCATTGCGCCACTCGTCAACCGCCATCCGCAAACTGTCGCCCTCGGCTTCAAACTTTCATTTGAAATTCACTACATTTCATATCTCAATCGTATTTAATAATTATTCTTTCCATGACCGGCGTTTTTAAATTAAATGTAAAGATTTTTTTAATTTGCATAAAAGGATAGTCAATTTATCGCAATTAGTACAGGTATCGTTTCAATTCAAGTGAATACGACAATGTATCATTACCTGAGGCAATAGGAGTAAAATGTGGCTAACAATACAACACTTCTCTATAACTTCACTTCTTGTTTGTCTGTCTGCTACTATTCTTGTAATCGAAATTTAACACACTTCTACTTATCCTATCGATCTGAAATTTTGCACACTTGCGTAAAGTTGGAGACAATGCTTTAATAAAATGACAAAATAAATAATTTTATGAATAAAAATTTTTTTTCAATGTTAAATAAAACATAAACATAATTTTGTCAGCTACAAATCATATAATTGATATTTGACACACTTTTACCTGTCCAATTGATATAAAATTTTGCACACTTGTGTGAAGTTGGAGTCAATGCATGAATCAATTGACAGAATAAATAATTCTGAAAAAATTTTAGATGTTAACAAAAAATTGAAAAATTAATTTTATTAATATTCAAAAATAAAATTAGAAATTCATTGTACATCTGTAACATTGGAAACACTGGTTTCTTTAGAAGTGTTGTCTTTGGAAAAGTAATTTTTAAACGTATACTATTTTTGTCTGTAAACTGCATTTACTAATGAAAAATTATTTGATGAAATACATCAAATTTATTTAAAATTAATGCAAAAGCCTGACAATTTTAGACATGATTTTAAAAATGATAAATTATAGGAGTAATTAACGCCAAAGTGAGAAAAACCAATTTGTCATGGAAAAAACTCTCATTTCCTCTCATGAAATAAGTTTTTCAAGAATAATGCAAAAAATTCTGCGAGTTATTATTTGTATCATATTTCCTGTTTTGACAGGCGTACCTATAATATAAGTTATAAGGTATCATGGAGCGCTATCCACGCATCATATCTAAAATAATCTACCCGATAGGCGCATCTGAGGGGCCCCCTGCTTTAAAGTGGTCTTTATACGTAACACATGAGGCAAGTACCTAACGCGGGTGAGTCGTTATTCTTTGCGCGCAAAAAAAATCATGTTATGTAATTCAGTCATGTATTATGTTAATTGATTTATATATTATGTCGATTAGTCCTTGTATTATGTTAATTAATTCATGTATTATATTAAGGTTCATGTATTTTATTATAATGTTCAGATACTTTAAATAACTTTTGCCAGAAGGTTTTATTATGATGGAACAAAATGAATAATCTTCTTTAGATATTTAAGCGCATGGAATTTTGTGTGTTAATTCGATATATTCGATTTTTCTGTCTATTTCTTTCTGTTGTTTTTCATGCTGCAATTTCTATTTGATATTCTCCATTATTTAAGGAAGAAACACCATGTTGATGCTCGTGCTGTTGTTCACTCTGGTTGCCGCTTTCTGCTGGTTTTCCACTAAGAAACCAGCTGGGTATCCTCCAGGTATTCTATTTTAAATCATGAATTTCACGAATTACCGAAAAATGAACAATAAACTGATGCTATCTTTATCAAATTATTTTATATAATTTATAATTATATATATATATATATATATTGGTGTAGTTAGGCAGAAGCTTTTCTCTTATGCAAGTTTGTTATGTACATATATATATTGTTTTCAACAATATATATATATATATATATATAT